ATTCATTCTTTACCGGAGTGAACGTCAGATGCAGAAACAGAAAAAAAAAGAAGAATGAATATTGACAGACAGGAGCACAACCCCAGTGGATTACTATTGAACAAATGCATTAGAGGAGTCAGCTTTAACTGCTTATAGCTTCTTCTTCTTTTTTTTTTTTTTTTTTAAGTCCCCGAAGAACAAGAAAATAAATTCAATAATTCAGCTTCAGGTTAAACATAAGCCTGGGAATGGAGCGAGCCACAAAAACAAAGGTTTAGTGTTGTTTCCGGTATCCGCAACACAAAATAAGCCGATTTTTTAAAATCATTATTATATTAATTTTCAGATGAATGAATAAAAAAAAAACATTGACATAGGGTAAAACTCATTTACTTGTTATTGCAAAAATAAAAATCCTAATAAAAGTAAAACATCTCATTTATATTCAGCTTTAAATTTCATGTCATTTGCTGACGTTTCCAAAACGTTTATTATTACAATTTTTATTATTTGTATTATTTTTCTTTGCTCATACATGTGCAGTTCTGTCATCCAACCATCTGGTGTCCTCATACCTCCATCTCAAATCTGCTCCTTCTTTATATACCAGGGCTTTAACTCCATTCTGGCAGCAGACCCCCCACCCCCCACCCTCTTCGCTATTTTTTTTCCTTCCCCCTCCTCCCTGTTTTCTCCTCACGGTGCCTCTATTATTGTAGGCTTTAGCTCCATTGCTTTGCTTTAATTGTTTCCTGAAGTTTACTAGTTTGTTTTTGAGAAGAAAAGAGACAAAGTTATCCTTGCAGGAAAGGCTTTTCCACTTGTTTAAAAAAAATACGAAAGAGAGGAAAAGAAAATCGTGACACCGACCTACGGCGTGAGAGGTTTGCAGATGTGGGGATGCATGTCGGAGCAGGGGAGGGAGGTGCGTTAAGAGACGGACAGATAGTTAGGCCTCATTGCTTCCTTGGCAGCCTGCCCTCAAGAGATTAGTCCATAAAAATCACGTCCGAATCTCCCCACCACGTCCGACAATTTTTTTAAGCACCCCCCCTTTTTTTGTTGTTTTTTTCGTCTCTGCCGTCAGAGTATTTACAGACACACAACCCGCAGTTAAACAACTCTCTCCTTCATGACCCCAAAACTAGAATTAAAACAATTAATTACYGTTAACTCATACTGGGGGTATACAGTAATTATCAGAGCACAACCACAGAGATAATTCATCCGCACGCGCTGCGTTTCTCCTCGCCTCACCTTCTGTTAACTTCTGTCTAAATTTAGAGGGAGTGAGATGGAAGGGGCGGCGGTGAAACTCCCGATGAGAGGAGTGCACGAGGCTGCCTGTCGGTAATTAGGTTGAGCCACTTCTCGCCCATTGTTAACATCCTGCTTTAATCTAAGGAGGACCCATACATGACCCTTTTAGGCATCGTTTCGACACTGTCTTTCTTTTCCACGGGCCTTCCTCTGTTATTTTTTATTTAAATTTTTTCTGTCCTCCCTTGCCACTTTTAGATTTTCCCTTGTTTTTTGTCTCTCTGCTTTATTTTTTTTCTCTTTTCTCCTTGGCCTTTTCACACAAACCTAATTTTTCTCCCTTTTTTTCCCATTTCGAGCTCCGTCCATTCATGTGTCCATCCCTCCGTGCCTAACGCCTCCATTCCCCCTACGTTGCTGGTATATTTTTGGCCATACGGTCACTAGAATCTTTTTCTTTTTTTCGTGAACAGCAAGGTCACTGCTTTAATTAAGAACGGTGAGTGAGAGTCCGAAGTTCAGCGTCTTTTTATTTTTTTACTCCCCCATTCATCCTGCCTTTGCTTACTTGGCGCTCTCTGGTCTTTGCTGGACACGACCCCAGRATAGGACAGTAGAGCAAACAAGCAGGATTGTGCATGGTAATCAACACAAGCCCCCCACCCCCCTTTTATTTATTTTTTATTCACACAACTGCAGAGAATCAAAATTCAGTTCACTACTGCTGAAGAGCAACAGAATATGAACGAGCCATGTCTACATTTTCCCCTTTTTTCCTTTTTGCAACAATAACATTATCAACATGAACAGCACGTGCTACGACCCTTTGAAAAGACAGGCGATTTTAACGTTGCTACAGAAGCATGATGGACTGTTTCTAAGTTCACTCTATCACCAGATTTTTGTGTTTTCCGGATTTTTCCACCTACTTTAAGGGAGATTCTGTGTTATACCTGCTGCATAAGGTTCTGAATACTGATGTGACAGTGGTACCATTCTGTCCTTGCTTCTATAAGCCATAACTCTATTGAATTCCGTTCTCTTCTGACTGTTTTGCGCTCACTGTGACCCACTACTTTAATTGCCATTATCAAGGGAGAATGCAAAGAGGGCCAGGAAGCCTCCAGTGCATCATCCTCCTTATTTTGATGCTTCCAGATGAGATACTTGTGTGGGAAAACATGGGAGGATAATAAAACAATACACCAAATCCCAATTTACCTGAGCACGTCCTGTACTGTGCTCCAAAGCCCCTGAAATGTGCGCATGTTTCTTTTTTAAATATCTATGAAGTTTGTTTTATTGTCTTTTTTTCGTAAAAAAAAAAACAACTCCTAGGGTGTTATTCTTATATTTGCACTTCTTTAATGTGTTGCAGTTCACTTTTGGAGTTGTTTTTCCTACAGCTTCCTCTCAGATCTTCCAACATTTTGAAGTTTGTGTTATGTGGAGGCAGGGTGAGGGGCTCCCTCCCTCTTCTTCAGCCAGCTGACTGACAGCTAGCGTGAACTTGACAAGGAGGCGGAGTTTAAAACTATTTAAACAGCAGGAAGGTTGTGCTCTAAAATGGTAGTGGTTGTGCAACTGTGACTGTTCATTCCACAATCCAGTTTCAGTCAGTTCATTCCTTTTGCAGTACAATACATTCATAAACAGTGCTTTATGAAATGCCAATTAGTAAAAGTTATAGTTTTAAAGGAGCCTGCTTATTGTGTCAGATCTTCACTGTTGCAATCGTCCTACCTGTCCAAGCAGCACATTAGAGACAGTGGAAAGGAAGAACTCATTTTTGAGAAGAAGATGGGTAGCTGTGTGCCTCGACCAGATGGAGGTCGAGATGTCGGGAAAGAGATATGAACACTGTAATAGTTGGTCAATGGGGAGTTTGTTGTAAAAAAAAAGAGAAACACATCAATAGCAGCAATAATATATGAGCAAACTTAGAGGGTAGAGAGAATAAAGATAGCATTATAAGGAACTGTGGTTAATATGCTCTCCAGCATGCCCCAATACCCCRCCCTTATATGGGCACTATTGACCCCTCATTACCCTGATAGGAAGAAGTGGATAAATGGATGGATAGATGCCCTCCAGCAGTCTGAGCAWATAGCAACAGCTAAGACACACTTAAGAAACCCAAGCCAACTCCACCTATAGGTTTTCCTTAAAATGACTGTCTTAACCCTAGTCTTACAAAGGGACAGACTCACAAATAAAAATAGGAAGTTRGTTCCACAACTTTAACATGTAAAGATACCTCATTACATATAGTTACATGTTGCAACAAAGCCCCACAAACCACAAACTTCATGAAGTCTTCAGAGCCGAAAGCTGGGATCTCCTGCTTTAAGATGGAGGTATTGAGAGATGTAAGGGACAGAGGTGCATTCATTTGGTAACCAGCTCCAGAATAGAGTTGGCCATTTTGGTGACTTGAATTGAAAAAGCATTCCACTTTCGGACTAAGGACAGAGATGCATGACACTCGGACCACCAACCTTCCACTTGACCTAAGATTGTGCTAACAATCTGGATCACTGGTTCCCAAACTATTCAACTTTCAACCCAGAAAATGGCTACAGGAGAGACTTGAAAAACTTGATATTTTGCAACCCATAGYTATGTCTCAATTCTAGCTTTGAAAACCACTGCACTAGTCAACTTTTATCATTCCCTCAGTGCTTTGATGATGCTATGGCTGACTCCGGCTCAGATGATTTGATAGACACATATCTAGCTGGTTATTAATTTAGACCTCACTTGTTTGTCTGTTTTTCTTTTTGAAACACTGGAATAGTAGATTTTGTTTGTCCACCTAATGATTTGTACAGCCTATTGCCAAGCAGTAGAGCATTTTTGCTGATTTTTAGGTAGAATAAAAAGAAAAATCTCAATAAATCATGATAAACAAACAATAGAAGCTTGCAGTTGAACAAGATCAACATAACTGTGATGTTCTCACTTAAGCTGATCGTGCTCTATTCCTTAAAAACCGGCCTTTGTCCACATGCAACCAAATGCCAGTTTACCTGAGTACCTTCTGTTCTGCACTCCTTGAAATGCCTGTAAAGTTTGTTTTCAGCCTTTAAAATTATTTCATTATGTCTCTTTTTGCAATGAAAATAACAGCTCCTTGTGTGCTATTCTTGTGGGCTTCTTTAATTCACTTTCAGAGCAGTTTCCCTTTTTTTACATTTTCCAATCCTCTGCATTTAAAGTTTTGAATTCGGAGGTGAAAGTTCACCCCTGATGCTGATTTGACTTGACTTGCCCACTCCGAAACATCAAGGGGTGGATTTCCTGTTTTGTGATTTGATTCAAACCCTTCTCGACCAACACACTCTGTGTCATTTCATCCAAGTTGCATCTTGAAAGCGAAGCAGGGTGAATATTTGTGAAAATAAATTGGATGCTGTATTGATGGGGTATGGTTCTGTTTTGATGAGGATGCCTGTCAAACTGAGTGCAGTCCCAGCTGAAAATATTATGTCAGAATCACACATCTATTAAAGCAGACAATGTGTTGGGKGGGGGGGGGGGTGTGCTTACATATAATAGCAAACAAATGCAGTTAGCCTGGAAGTAGCTCTGTGTCTGTTTTTGACAGATATTTTTTTGTCTTGCTGTTTAGGAGATGTACTCCAAAGGTCTGATCCTGGCCAGTGCCTTCAGACAGGTGCGAGGACTCGGAGACAACAAGTTTGAGGTTGTCACTTCCCTCCGGACCTTTGTATTTCGGGCTGAAAAAGAAGGTACATCTTTTTCAGCCGTCACGTAGTAGCTCCTCAATCTGCTCTTGCTGCTTGTCAGTCTGCCTCTGTCACTCTGACCGTCTGATTCACTGTCTGGCTTTGTTTTTCTTCCTCTCGCTCTCTTTCTGTCCTTCCCCACATCCCATCTCTCTCTCTCCGTCTCCCAGTGTCGTCTTATTTTCTAAATGCCTCTGTGGCAATCTTCTATTTTTCCTGCCTTTTGCCTCAAATGCACTTTTACCCACCCCCAAAAGCCTTTCTGACGCTTCTGTCTCCTGCTGCTCTTAAGTGTCATTAGAGAGGTTTTACATGACTCTGAATCTTACCACCGTGCAAAGAAATGATTCTATGCTTTAGGGAGGTTTTCTGCCATTCAAAGTGTGTGGAGAAAAGGATCAATAACCATTTTATGCCCGTGCATTAAGTACAGAGGACTAATAGCGGCAGGCGAATAACTCTGAACTTTTAGCTTAATAGCACATCTGTTGTGTGGGGAGAAACACCAGAGCATCGACCCCTGATCTGTCAGCTTATTAGCATGGATTCTTAAAGTTAACCTGAAAAAACAAAACAAACTTCAAGCCAGAAAGCCTTTAAATATTAATCCAGACTACGTTAAAAGATTACAAGAAAGCAGTGGTGGGCACAGCTAATTGAAACGTTAGGCTCACTAACTATTAATCTGCTAAACAAGATTAGCTTCGTTAACGCTAAACTGCTAAATAGATTACAAAATTAGTGACTTCACTCAGTCACACGTCTTCATCTCTTTCCAGTTGAAAGCTGGTGGGACTTTATGCAAACCTGTTGTTTTCTATTGGTTTAATTTGAAGGTGGGTGGGATCGTTTGTGGCAAATCAGCCAATCCAAACAAGAGTTTGTCTCTGTTTAACTTGTAATACTTTCAGTTTAACCCTTTTTAGAATAAAAGCATTTCTATGATCAAAATGGAATTTTTATAAAAAACATTTGAAGTTAGTCAAAAAAAACCTAATATTTTCTCTACCGTATTTTATAAGTTGTCAGTTTTGTTATTATTTTTAAAATATTATTTTATTTCTTTTTAATGCTCTTAGTTTAGTTGCTAAAGATGCTACATGCTACACACGTAGTGCCTGACACATCCAGCTCTGTTTGTAAGAAATATATCTTTTATTTAATTTGGGATAAATGACAAAAAATGGAAGTTTAACACTTGTAAATTGTTCAGTGGACTTAAAATTAGCACAACATAATTTAGCATAAGCTAATCAGTCTGCTAAAGGTTTCCAAAGTTTGCAAAAAATATTATTTGCTAAATGAGAAGATAGTTCCTTTATAAGCGAATTGGCCGAACTGCACCCGCCGCTGCAAGAAAGTGTAGCTCAACAAAAGGAAAATAAAATAAAAAAATTACAGATGGTTTAAGCGTGTTTCAAAGTACTTTTATCTACTCAGGGGTCATTACAACCAAACACACATCCTAGCAAGCTAAATGTATTTCATAAAACCATATCTCTCTAACTTAATTTGCTTTTAAGTGCTGGACAAGTGAATGTTATGAATAATTTGTAGTGCACATGGGTGTGTGTGATACGGAGCTCAAAGAAATCATAGTGGCAGTAATTACTTTATTTCTCTGCCTGAAACCATGTCATAAAATGAACCTGAAGGGCAGATTATACAAGGTAATGTAAGTTAAAAAAAACTAAAGGGGGCTCCTGTAATAATCTCATTACTGCTTCCCATCTCCATCCTTCTGTCAGACAAACAGAATGAAAGTTGTCTCAGCTTATCGTCTCACAGGTGGAAGCTTTCCGTGTCAAACCTAATGAAAGAGACGCTTTTCCTGCTCCTCGCTCTCCACCATCAACCCCCTGCCTGCTTCATGGTAGCAGCTCAGGTCAAACAGCTTATTCACTAATCGAGGGTCTGCGGCTCAAACTAGATGTGTCTTATGCCCTTAGATTCTTATGACAAAAGCTAGGTTTGTGAAAGGGAAGTTTGCATGATGGGAACCTTTGGGAAACTGTGTGGCACATTAATAGGTGAGAAAACATCAAGGAAAAATCTACATTTGACTTCTTCATTAAGTATTTGCGCTTGATTGGCTCAACAAATAATTTTACTTTCCCTGCAGCTAAAGCTCATTTACATAAACTTAAAGGCATCAAGTCTTTTTCAAAATGTAGCCTCTTGTCAGTCAAGATTCTAATGAGCAACAAAACACTAATGATGTGATTTACCTGTGTTATGGAAATTGTATGTAAATTGGTGAGATATAATGTTCTGGACACCAATGCTTTTCCTTTTGACTGTCATCGGCACCATTGTAAGCCCCAAATTTCTTTTTAATTACTTTATTTTCAAAATCACATTAGAATCAAATTACATTGTGTCTAAATATACTTTTATATTTTGGGGACAGAAACAAGCATGCAACAAAAAAGTCTGCTTTTCATCCACTGACTTCTAAAGCTCTGCAGTGACAATTAGGGGGAAACAAACCCAGACTTCAGTGAGAACTTTTTCAACTTTACTCATTAAACTGAAGTTTTACCTTTTTTGTTTTTGGTCTTGTGGGCAGTCATGTCAGATTTTGTATTTGAATGTCTTGCGCAGAAATTACACTTGTCAGGTTTGTGAATGTTTGACCCAATGTGCAAAAAAAAAAAACAATTAAAAATGAAACAGTAGATACATGTAGTGATGGGTACCTTTGACGTTTGAATCGATTCGGTACCAATATCCGGTACCTGGGAATCAGTACCGGTACTTAATGGTACCAATTTTTGGTACTTTGTGTGTGTTGTTTTTTCAATAATAAACTTTTATTTATTTTTTTCATTTAACATATTTCTCAATACATAAAATTAACAAATATCAAGACAACATCCAACTCTTTGTATTGTAACATCAGTTGTGTAACTTATTTCTTTAAAGTGAAAACTGTTGAAAACAACAAGACTATTTTGTCTTATTGCACAAATTAAAATCCAGTTCGATGTATTTCTATTGATGTCATTTCCCCAATAGAAAAAATGTGTGATGGAGGTCCATGGAAATCAAATAAGTTTAAATCAAATAAACAAAAGAGGATGTAGTTAAAATAAATAAAATGTATTCAAGCTACGTTTTGAGCATCCAAAACGCGCCCAACGCTTCAAGTTAGCTGCTTGTGCTCTTTCAGGTCAGACGCATTCGGACTGTCGGGAAGCGCATCTGTTGTTTTCCTGTGCCGGTCTCTGTTTAATGGTGGGTGAAATAAAGAAAGGCGGTACTTTATTTATTTTGAGCAAGCAAACGTTGTGTTCACAAGATAATTAATCCACCAGATAATTCAGAGGCGGTCTGTTAGGTGACTTTTACTCCAGGAGCTGCGAGGCTTTCATGCTACGTTCAGACCGAGCTCTGCCTCTGTTTACTGAACCAGCGGCTGCTGACGTCATTACGCCCTTGCGTGTTGCTGCGTTCTGGACAAGCATGGAAAACTCACCACTCTTACGCCAAACCGGTCACAATGATGCATTTAGGTACCGAAACATGGTACCGTTTGATGTTACGCGAATAGGTTCTCGGTAGTACCGACAGGATTCGGTCTGTGCATAAAAAAATATYGAATTCGGTACCCATCCCTAAATACATGGAGTAAAAGTGAAAAAGATTTATTAACCAAAATAAAGAGTTGTCATGGCAGTGTGAATAATCACAGGAAAACACTTCATGGAGGAAACTCGGGGAGACTGACTGACTGACTGACTGACAACGGCACAATGGACAGGGAGCCCGAGACAAGACACAGAATATAAAGGGGAAACTAACGAGGGGTAACGACACACACCTGGAGAGAGGCAACAAGGATCTGGTGTGAGAGAAGCTGAGGAAGAACATTGAGGAAGAGAAAAACAGGGAATAAAGAAACACTGGAAAATATATATACTAGTAAAACAACTAGGGATGCACCAATATGAAAATTTCAGCCGGTATCGATATCCGATATAATTATTGCTGCTATGGCTGATAACCAATATTTACTGATATTACACAAACATACAAATTATATTATACATGTACACACAAACACACTTTGGTCTTTTTTTGATATGGTAAATAAACAACCAGTCCTCTGACATGGCTCCCTACTTCAGTTATTCCTGGCTGTGCAGCATCAATATCACTATCATGATCAAACAGATGCTGCTCAATCAACCATCTCCCCTCCAAAACAGAAACACAAAGATAACAAGTGGGAAATCAATATCTGACATTAAAATCGGCCCGGTTTTACATATCRGGCCGATACTGTTATTCTAAAAATGACCAGTATCTGCCGATACCAATAAATGCTGATACCGTGCATCCCTAAAAACAACATACAAGCGGCCACAAGGAGTAAAAAACAAATGGACTGAATGCAAACTAACAAATACACAGATCCTCACAAAACTACAGCTGTGTCCAAACTCAGGGGCAGTGTCCTTCGCAGGACCCAGTTTACATGGGCCGGGTTTTTTGTCGATAGACCAGAAGAAAGTGGCTGTTCTTTTAAACGGTCTAGCCTAGGATGCATTTGTGGGCCACACTTGGAAGAGCCTTTGAATATGGACAGTCTTTGGTGCATCACTGTGATGTAATCTGAGTTCGAAGGATGCAGCTCCTGAATTTGGACACAATCTAGTTTGCACCAAGGCTACACTCCCACCGCAAGCTAAAACCAGTTACATTGGATTTTTTCATGATAGTCTGAATGTGACAAATCCGATGTTTAATTATTTTTCCTTATCTGACACAAACCTTTTTAGTATTTGGTACTAAATTGAGTACAGATCTGACCTGTCTGAACACTCATGTTACATTTTACTTTTACGTCTGTGGGTCGGTGGTTTGTGGATCTATCCAAGTATTTAGAACATTGATACCAACTTTGTGCAGTTTCAATGTTGTACTTCCACACGTCTTCGGCTACAGAACAGAAGTCCAGTTGCTTCATCCTTGTGGTTTTGTGTTTCCATGTCCTGGTT